ATTAACTTTAGTTAATTTAGTATTCATATTTTATTGTAGAAATATACGATACAGTGATCAATAATAGGATTTTAAATCAAATTTATTAAGTTACATTAGGATAAAATTCCATGGAGGAAGTAATATGGAAATGAATTGGTGAAAAAGAAGAAACAATTAAAATTATCAACTGAACTGAAGAACTTGTTCAATTATTTTTTTGAAGGGATGATGGTAGATATCAAATAGCTATGGTGTTTATATTGTACAGGACAGTCACAAGGGTCATATAAGAGTTTATTTTTAAATGTCCATATTACTACTACTCTAGAATTTTCATTTTTCATCACTATTTACCTTAAGTTGAAAATGTTAGATATCAAGTGTGAAGACCACACACATTTTTACAAAATTCTTTTTAGGTGTGAATGAACAAAAATATTTAAAGATCATTGGTTTAAGATAACTTCCATATCTGACACTTCCATATCTAATTTCTTCCCCTTTGTGTTGTTTATTTTCTAAAAATAAATTTAGAGGCTTAAATAATGCCTTCCACCACTTACTACCACCACAGGCAGAACCTGTGTTAGCTAGCTACTTTAAAATCCATATCTTTCTCACTTGTTAGGGGACCTGCTTCATTAATTTTTCTGTCTTCACAACATCACACGAGGTTCCTGGCACTTAGTAGGTACTACAAAGGACCTTAGCCATCCCAGTTGACTCATCTCTCCCAATTTAACCCTAATTTTCAACCCTGGATACCTATTAGAATGAAAACATCCTGGTCATAGGATGCACACTAGACAACTGCATCACAGTCCCTGGAGGGGAGGGGAGGCATTAGTATATTTTAAGGTTTTCCAAATAGTTTCAGTGTGCAACCAAAGCAAAGAACAATTGAAAGGCACTGGCAGAATGGAGAAGGTAGCACTGTGATGTGATCTCATCTTCTGATTACTCATCTCTGATTAGCTCAATGCTCTACATTTGAAAACATGTTTCAGATTGGGTTTTCAGTTCTAACCTCATCTCCTAGCACACTGTGAAGGAAGACTCTGCCTACATTTCTGATATTCCTATCTCATTCTGAGTTGGTCATTTCCAGAAAGTGGGAATCTGTACTTCCAAGCAATTATTCAGTTTTAGTCCTCTCTCAACAGCACTTAGGTAACCCTTTTAATAGAGGATATTTTGAGTTGTCAGTGACTCACATTCCTGCTGGCCTCCAGGAAAGAATGTCATCAGGACTCTGGGCTTTAAGTGGTATGAGGAACCAGGATGTTTACAGGAGCTGGGGAAGTGCCAGCAGGGGCACATGAGCTGGTATGGGCCTGTAAGTGTGTGTGTGCCATGTGCATATCTGTATGGCTATGTTTACACACATGTGTACATGTGTGTCTGTGCACATGCACACCCACATGCATGTGTTTGTGCACGTATGCATCAGAGGAGCTTGGGAAGGTTGGTAGAGAGTATCGGTGGCAGGCTTACTTTCAGAGGCTGAGGGATAGCACAGGTGGTCAAGATTGTCTTTTGGGCTTCAGGACCAGCTATTTTCAGAAAGCTTCCCTTCAAGGCCACCCAGAGAAGAGCTTTGCATACCTTTCAAGCTGTTCTACTTCATGAATCACCTCATAGTGACCCAGTAGTGATGACTGCACAAGGAAGAAAGAAAACCCTTGGCTGTCTGAGGTGTGGAGGAATTTCTAAGGCTCATGGGGATTAAAAACCTCTGTGTTGTTGCAGGATGGGAAATGATGCCTTCTGTCAGTTTTATTCAAGTGTTTCTTTTTAAGCACCAACCTCACTGACTTTGATTCTAGAATAAATTAATTCCAGAGCCCCGACTTGAAATTTCCTGATCTGCCTATTTTCTATCCACCCACACAAAGGAAAAACTACAGAGCCTTGTCAGTTTTCAAATGAGCAGCTTGCGTTACACATTCTTCTAGGGAGTTTTTTAAAAAAGAGTGTCAAGATTTTTCAATCCTTCTTTTCTTCCCTGGCATTTGCCCATTTTACTCTTGAGCTGCTTTCTTTACACAAATATGTATATTGCTCCACTGAGCTGCAGAAAGTTGATTCTCTTAGACAGTTGGGGATAATAATTTCAGACTTGCCCTACTACAATTTTAAAAAGCATCATGATGGCGATTCTTTGTATAACTGCTAAGATGTTCTATCTTATTTTTATATTGAATATGCCTTTTTGAAGGAATACAAAATGCACCCTAGACTTTGTGTGGTTCAAGTTTTATCGAGATAAAAGTTTTATAAGACATACATGTCACTCTGACTATAGTATCTGCATTTTGCAGATGAGGCACCTAGGAAATTGAGATTCTTACTCAAGACCTTGAGCTTGCAAGGCAGGCGGCACCACTGAGCTAAATCCCCAGCCCTTGAGATTCTCAACAGAGAGCAACCAATAAATGCTGCCTGATAATACATGAGTATCCAGGTCACTCAATAAATCCGCTGCAGAATCACGATGAGAGCTTTTAGCCTTGGCATCTTAATTTCTTGACAACTCACCAATCTTCTCTGTGGAGTTCATTATTGACTGCTTTCTTCCATGCAGATTTAGAGACAAATGCATTTATCTACTTTATCTTTTATTTATTTATTTATTTATTTATTTTTATTTTTTGGTACTGGGGATTGAACTCCGGTCCTTGCGCTTGCAAGGCAGGCCACCGAACCGCTGAGCTAAATCCCCAGCCCTATTTATTTATTTTTGAAATAGGGTCTTGCTACGTGGCCCAGGCTGATCTCTAATTTCTGGACTTATGTGGTCCTCCTGCCTCAACTTCTGGAATAGGTAGACTAGAGTCATGCACCATTATGCTTAGAAAATTTTTATTTCAAGATTTAAAAGTTTGGAATCCTGAAAACATTCCCTCCCTTTCTTATCTCTACATGTGTACACATTATTATATTAGAATAGATTGCTAACATGCATGTGTCTGTGTATGAGAAGGAACAGAAGGAGAGAATTACTATTTTTATATCTTGGGGAAGTTCGAACAAGTTTCCAAAATAGGTGAGGTGAAATTTATCAGAGTTTTCTCTCCACAGTAAAACTTTCCATGTAACATAAACTTCTTTAGGAGTACTCCAAGAAATCAGAGCTGAAACTCAGCTTATCTTCACAGTCTATATCTGAAGGTTAAGTATAAGAACTTTGCTTCGACAAGGTAATGAGAAATGACTATCGATTACCGTGTGTGTAGAGGAGGGGAAATGTCAACAGAGCCTGAGTTTTGGCGCTAGAGAAATGACTCGATTACCGTGTGTGTAGAGGAGGGGAAATGTCAACAGAGCCTGAGTTTTGGCGCTCTTTGTTTTTCATTTCCCGACTGCCCTCAGGCCCCATATGATTTACTCGTCTCTTTCTCCGTACCTTTTGGCCACCAGGACATGTCATTTTCCATGGGGTATGCAGTAGCAGAGTTTTAAGTGGTCATGACCAATTAAAAGATGAGAAGAAACAAAAATCCTGCTATCCTACAAAATTTCTGTGAAACCTGGAGGATAGCACTGCGTTCTTTATCTTGCTCACTTAAAAGGTCAATTATTTGCTGCTGATTACTAACCAGCCTTGTTTTACCATCACACTGGGGAATCACCTGATATTTGTATGTATTTATATTTACATTGGTTCTACCTCAAAAAACCTTCTTCAACAAATACCCGAGCTCCTTCACTTTTATGTGGAAATTTAAACAGCAGAATAAATCCACTTTAATATAATTTGTGTAAATCACTTCTTACAGAGAATTCTCTTGTTGGGAAAGGTCAGTATTTACCATCAAGAAAAATAAATAATACTGACTTATTCTTTCTTTCTCTCTCTCATATATATACATATATGAATATATATATGTATATATATATATGAATATATGTGTGTGCATATGTATGCATGCAAACACACACACACATGGCTGCATAGATGTAAACCTAGTAGATATCACTGCTAAAGTTACCAATAGTTTCAGGACCTATGAAATACTGTGATTATGGATTTAAGCTGGGGGTGGAGTAGACCTGGGTTCAAGTCCTGCCTGTGGCTGTGTGACAGTGCACAAGTTACTTATTCTTTAGGTCTGGAATGATGCTAGTCCATGAGCAAACTTTGAGTGGCAAGGCACATACTCAGATTCCAAAAAAATGAAAGTAAAACTGCTAGCCAGTGGTCTCGCAAGACAATGAAAAGAATGATGAGAAAGACATTGGTAACTAATGAGAGCCTGGCACCAGATCAGTTTCTGTAGGTGTTTGGATGAGATGTTTGGGACAATATTTCATTCTATTCTTTTGTGAGCCTCTGTATTAGAAGTTGCTGGATTTAATTTCATACTTCTGCCAAGAATCAGCCATCTAAGCCTACTTGAGAGGTGATAAGGCTTTGGCTGACTGGAAGTCTCTTACCTGTCATAGTCTTGGCAAATCTCCCCCACAGCTACCAGGGCCTTCAGGTACTCATTCGGTTGGTAAGGGTGGATATAATGCAAGGAACAGCTGTTTCTGGGGTCCCCATTTGAGGCAGTGAAATCTATAGCTACCTGGAAGAGAGGAACAGGTACAATTAATGTGAATGCATTTTTCAGGGATTATGATTAGCCATGAGACACAACCTTAGAAGGCAAAAGGCAGCCTATTACAACCTGCTAATAAGAAAAGTAACAGAAGAAATTAATTAGCTTTTTGTCAAAACAGTTATGGATTTGGTTGAGGCCATTTCTGCAGTGCTTAATGCCCCTTTCTTGAGCTTTGCCTTCTCCCTGTCCAAAATGCAACTTGAGACTGACATGTAGGTCAGAAAGCTCAGCCTCTATTGATCCATGTCACCAGGCAGCAAGAGTAAGAACAGAATATATTACTTCCAATTTTACAATTCACTAAGAAAAGACTTCTGTGCTCCCTAGGCAGAACAACTCAATTTCTGAAGCATAGGTAAATCCTTAAAATCACATTCTGTGTTGAAGATAGTCTTCATAAGAAAGCCACTGCCATATTTCCCAGAATGGCCAGTTGCACAGTTATGTTGAAGTGTTTTCTGCAAGGAGTGACTCTGTAAGGCATTCAACTTTTGGGTTTCCATTCATGGAAGAATTCATTTTTCTACAAAAAAGCAGGTGCTTGAATAACTTGGTATCATGAGTGGGGAGTAGAAAGAAAATTTTTCATCTTGCTATTAAGTGATCATTATCTTTCAATTTCTTAAATTTTTCTGACTGCCTCCCCAACTCATATCAACCAAATAAAAGTTGACTCATCAGGCACCAGGCAAGCATTTCCATTTCTTACCACTGCCACCGCCACCGCCACTACCACCAAAACCACCACCACCACCACCACCACCAACAACAACAACAACAATGTTTAAGCCTGAGAGAGTTAAAATGAGAAGGAACTTTTTCATGACTTCAAAGAGCAGCACCACCTAAATAAAAGTTAAACCAGCAAAAACCTCTAAAAAACTGCTGAAGGTTGAGGAAGAGGAGGTTAAAATAAGGAGTGATAGGAGAACAAAATGTTTGTGTTGCATCTTCTGGGAACAGTAGAATACATTCGCTGGCTTAGTAATGTCAGGAAGGCTCTATTTGCTCATATGGCCTTGGAGATTATAAAGTAGGAAATTTTATGTGTGTTATATTTAGAAAACTCCATTATAATAAATAACTGGAATGTTCTTTCTATTGGATTTACTAAAATGGGATATTACTTCTGGAAGGATGAAGAAAAGACATGGGTCTTTTCTCTTTTGTTCTTATACTGGGGATTGAACCCAGGGCCTTGTACATGCTAGGCAAGTGTTCTAACACTGAGCTACACCCGCTGCCCCTTTCCCTTTAAATTGCCCTGGCAGGCTGGTCTCAAACTTGTGATCCTTCTGCCTCAGCCTTGGGGTAGTGAGATTTGTTGGAGCTCTTAAAAAGTTAAGTTAATGGGAAGAAATTTTATCTGTGTCCAATATGGGAGCCTTGCAATCAAGTCAAAGTGACTAGAAAAGAAGAACAACAGGCTATATGTAATTCATGTATAGATTTGTTCTTTTTTTCCCATGACTTTAGTTTTTTCATCACCAATTTCTTTTTCCTTTTCTTCTTCACTCCCCTTGAGGCTAGGGTTAAAAATAAATTTGGTAGGATTTCAACTCTGTTTCAGATCACCCAGATGTTTTACACAAGGGATACCTACTGATGAACTCCAAGCACTAATAGTATGTTGAAAGAAAGGTCCTGGGAAGGAAAAAATGTAGGACCTCCCTGACCCAAGAATGCCTGTATTTGCATAATGAAACAAAAGAGGAGCAAAACTCTTCTCTGTGCCTGGCCCTGTGCTAACAGCTTTGCAGGTATTATGCTTTCATTTTCATGAAGCCTCTGCAAGGTAAATGCTGTTCTTTTTTGTTGATGGCAACAGCGGGGCCCAAAGGTGATGAGTTCACACAAGTAATACAGGTAGAGCTGGGTTTAAATCCAAAAGTTATGTCTCCAAAGACTATACCTCATTATTATACCATTATACATCTACAAAAATATGCAAGTTTGTAGCCAGCATGCCAAGACTTCTCATGAGCACAATTCCTATAAAAAAATGATTTGGCTTGGAGGTAGAGAGACCAGCTAGGAGGCAACTATAATCATTTAGAGAATGACCTTGAATGAACAGTTCTCTGAGACTAAAATAGTTATAAAATTCAGAGGAAGGCAATCTGTGTGTGTGTGTGTGTGTGTGTGTATGCATGATAGTGGAAGATGTGTTACTGAGGATGACTACAGGTAACCTAGAAGGCAATTAAATGCAGTCTTCTGAGATGGGCTTTATCCTGAAGGGCACATCCAAGTCACTGGAAGAAGAAACAAAGACAGTAGGTGAATATCCTTTTAATCAAGGACTGCAGCCGGGGATTTAGCTCAGTGGTTCCGCCACCTGCCTTGCAAGCACAAGGACCCGAGTTCGATCCTTGGGACAAAAAAAAAAAAAAAAAAAAAAAAAAAAAAAAAAAAAAAAAATCAAGGACTGCAATGAAAAGCTAGTAATGAAGAGGAAACTACATGTATTTTGTGTACAAGAAGGACATATAAAGTACCTTAGCATCTTATAAGGATCTGACCAGACAGAGGTCAAAATACACACAGATAATTGCAATAAAATGTCTTTAAGCAGAAAACTCAAGAGGTACTTAAGAGATAGAATTTGAAGAGATCATACTCTGGGGACCTTCTGGTTTACTCCTAAGTCCAACACACAGAAACTCCACCCTAAGTCTATTTCTCCTGATGAGACACACAACAGGGACAATGACACCTCACACTTATACCCATGGAATTTGGAAAGTAAAGAAGTGCTGGGAGAACTTGATATAAAGTCACCCCCTTCTCTCACTGAAGAAAGTATTTTAAAACACTAGGAAATTCTGGAGAGCATGAAGAGGCTGTGTGGATATTACATCATTTTTTTGAAGAAAGTATTTTAAAACACTAGGAAATTCTGGAGAGCATGAAGAGGCTGTGTGGATATTACCTTTCATACTTTATTATTTTTTTATTGCAATGCTGGGGATCCAAGGCATGGCCTCATATGTGGTAGGCAAGCTCTCTATCAATGAGCTCTAACCCCAAATCCAATATTTAATCATTAATAATGACTGTCTGTGACTCATATCACTATGTAATGCCCTTAATCATGGATCACCACAGAAGTCATCATACCTGTGCTTTTAAACCATGTGCTGGTTACCTGACTGAGACTCCTGAAGTGTTAAATGTGTTAGGTGACAATAAAGACTGCTATCTTGCTATAAAACTAGAGAATGAAATCAGGTAATGAAGGTGAGGGGAATATCCGTAAAGAAATACAGCAACTAAAAACACATAACTGAGCCTCTTATTCTGCCTAGCTACAGGCAAGATCCTCTAAGCCTACAGCCACCAAGTGGCAGCACCTGAGCCAAGGTACCTCACCCTGAGGTCATGATATCCAGAGAAGCCTGGCTCGTGTCTGCATGGCCACAGATTTTGGCCAAAATATATTTTAAAATAATTTTTAAAACATCACAGAACTAGGACTGGAGTATATCTTGCGTATAAACCCAAGAAGTCATCCATTCTTAACTGATCCTAAATTTGCATGATCCTGAGAGTGAAGCCTCCTTAAAATTTTCATCACTAGTGTCTTTTTTAGTCTTTTCCTCATCCTGGCCAGTTACAACATTTCATTTCAATCAATTCTTCACTGTCAGGCTTAGAGGAATTTATTTTCAACAAGCTTGGGTGAAGCAAAGATGACAACGAGAAAGGAATTGAGAAGGAGCTTGTGATTGAAGCTATTAAGTGTAGAGGACGAATAGGATTTGGCAACATTTAATGTAGAATTGAATGTCAATTAGGGAAAAGGGGCAATCATTCCTTGGGGGATGGAAGAGAATGATACATCTTTTTTTTTTTTTTTTTTTTGAGACAGGGTCTCACTATGTAGTTGAGACTGATCTGGAACTCACTATGTAGCCCAGGCTGATCTCAAACTCACAGCGATCCTCCTACCTCAGCCTCCTGAGTGCTGGGATTATAGGCTTGCACTACCTCGCCGGGCTGAGAATGATACATTTTGAAGGTAACAGAACAAGGTGAAGGCTGGGGTTAATATTGGGCTGCCTGAGCATAGTGATGCTACTTAGACAAACTTGCTTGTTAAAAAAGTAGAAATTTTATTTTTTTCCTATAGGAGAACCTCCAGGATTTGTTTCCCCACCCATGGACATGGCCCATTTGTCCACAACAGCTAGAGAGGCTGTTCCAGCTCAGGACAGTTGGATATATGCTGGGGGAGGGTATAAACTTCAAAAATTAACTGTTGAAAAAGAAATAAACTAGTGATCCTTACTACCTAGCCTTTTCTGTAGTTCTGATGGTTCATACAAATTTTTCCCATGTGACTAGATAGATAGTAATGGATAGTTTTAAGTACATAACAGCTAAAAGGTTTTTTTACCCCCTAGAAAATGACGGTTTCTAAAGTCTCCATCACAAAGTTAGAGATAAAATATCTGTCTTGATGAGGTGGCCTTGCACCAGGATTTATCTGTGCTCTTTCAAGTTAGCATTAGTGGAAAGAGAACAAAGTGAAAGGTTACACTTATTTTAGAAGCAACAGGGAGGCTGTGAATGATGGGATAAAGTTGAGAAATAAGAGCAAGAAAATGACTGAAAAATGCCAGTTTGTGGAGGTGGCTGCAGATGCCTGGGTTCTGTGAACTTGCAGAAACACCACACTTTCATTTTCTGATATGAAGCATTTATGAAAACCTGTGGTTCTGGTATGTGCTCCAATATTCACAGCAAGCAGTCTAAGAACAGGCATCCATTGCTTTTTGCTTCTGCCCAGGAGGCCGCTCTCATTATTGAGTGGAACTGTGGAGCAGCTTTGCAGAACTTTGTAAAGTAGGAATGCAAAATGCTCCCTCAATGCCATCAAGTCCCCAGTGCCTGGCACTGTTTCTGGGAAAAGACTGAAAGCAAATGATGAATATTTTTCTTTGTCATTTTTAATTTTACAT